GAATGATGATCAGGTGTTTATATCAGTATAACAATTCATTTTGGATGAATGTGGGGAAAGGGTCATCCTTGTAAAGCTATACTTTTAGAAACCTCTGTATTTGTCCAGGATTAAGAAAATGAATTCATTTTCGGAGTTCATGTCATTTGAGGATGTCGCTGTGGACTTTACCTGGGAGGAGTGGCAGGACCTGGAAGACGTTCAGAAGATTCTATACAAGGATGTGATGCCGGCGACCTACGGCAGTCTGATGTCTTTAGGACACTGCATTGCCAAACCTGCAGTGATCTTCATGTAGGAGCAAGGAGGAGAGCCATGGACATTAGAAGAACTTCCCAACCAGAGCTTTCCACATCACTGGCCTCACCCACCACTACAGAGAAGAGCATCTTGGGCATCTACCACCCCTCAGAAGCTGGCATCACCGCCTGGAGGGCCACCAGCCTCTGAAAGCAACTGAGCCACGTTGGCTGTGCCCACTCACTCTGCTCCCCCAGACAGGAGCGCTGTGCATGGGCCCTGCCCCAGGCATAGCATGACAAAGGTTTACTTGTCTTTTTAAGATGCTTAAAAACCAAGAGGACATGAGGATGTATCTCTGGAAGAACAAAAATGCAGGCACACTCAAGCCAGAAATCTAAATTTGTGAAACTGGGAAGTGATACAGGGAGTCAGGGAGAAAAAAGAAATTCTGGTGAGGAAAGGACAGTGACCATAGTGACCATGGAACTCAGTGCATCAAACATAAATTTGAAGACACTCAGGAATTCTGAAAAGGTTGAACATCTCTTAATTGCCATCTACACAGGTAATACTGATAACCATTCTGTATCAAGACACAAATTTTAACAATGATTTTTATTAAGTTGTCTAAAACTTCACAGCTAATTTTGTTTCTTTTTCTTTTTTTAAATTTACGTCTCTGTTTCCCAATACGATAGTTCTACATTAACGTAAATTGAAAGCCACACAATATACTTCTTCTAAATTAACACTTTAAATAGTAATACAAGAAATGTAATCAAGTAGTAAAATATTTTCTGAATAGAAAAAATAAAAAGAATCTTAATCACCTTTATATACCCATCTCAATTGTTAATTAGGCCATAAAAAATTCCCTACCTTGGCTATATAGGCTTCATTGAAGGAGAGACCAGAAAAACAGTTTCTTGGTGTCAACCACTCAGTAACATACATCGCCACTTGTACCAGGTTAACTCATTATGGAGAATGATGAATCATTGACATGAATGTCAGAGCTAATTTTAACAAGTGTGAATGGGAAAAGCTGTTTTTTGAAGATAGTAAATTTCACTGAACCCTGTGTCCTAATGTCATTTCTCTAATAACAACTAAGAGCCTACAACATTTCGTTGTGTTATCTACATAACTGTGAGAGCTTACACACAATGCTATGGGAAAACAGCTGAACCATGTGACCATAAAACAGACAAGGCTGCTTTTCATGTGTGATTTGTGGAAAGAGGCCTCATCTATGGTCACACTCTGTAATAATCACTAGCAGGACCACCCAAAGAGACGGCAAGCGGAATCCATTGTAACTAAAATGAAAGAGCACAACATAATACTTGTCCTCCCAGATGATCACCTGAAAAGGTTTTGATGGGGCCCTATTTTCCTTTAACAAACTGTCTGGATCAATCATAGAAGAAATTATCTTAACATTTTCTATGTTCACTTGCACTGTACTTTTACACACTGTCACACCTATTATCTCCATTTTTGCTAGGTTTAAACAGTTTATCTGTCTTGCCAGCTGGCTTAATGGCACAATTTAAGATTATTATACTTTGAAGTATTATTTTGAATTGAAAGGTTAATTATCTCTATCAGTGGTCTAAGTTTAAGGGAATTTCAATAAGGCTTTAAAAATCACTTTTGTCCTCTTTCTTAAGCAGCAGATTTTTATTATCAAGACTTGAGTTTTATCACAGCGTATATCATCGTGTCCTCCAGACTGTGCATACCAACATTCAAAAACTGCGCTATGGAGTGTCGGAACTTATGGTGACAGCAGGTCAACGTGGGATGCAACTGTGTCAGACCAGGGCTGATCTGGTCCATCAGGATGCAGAGGCAATCTACTACACAGGCTTGACCTGTTCCACCAACCCCCAACATACTGATATCTCCAGGCTCCCGTCCTAGTCGTTTCCTTCACACTTTACACACTGCCCCTGAGCAAGGTCAGTCACTGACAGAGAATGCATGAAGGGACTGGTAGAAAGAAAGGAGTGTGTGTGGGTGACACCCAAATCACTATCTCTACTTCTGACTTCTTCCCTGAGTTTATCTCTCTTACTATGAGACAATTACATCCCGATGTCTGACTTCAACCCAGCAATTTAAACTGAAGTCAGCATCCCCCTAAACTCTGCTCCTTAAAAGATGTCACCTCTATCAGCAAATAGCCCCCACTCAATTGCCTAACAGTGACTCCCATGTTAACCTCATTTCCTCTTTTATACACTCACACTGAATCGATCACCAATACCTAGTATTTCTACCAGCAAAAAATGTGTCTCCAACCTACTGTGACCATCCTGAAATCAGGCATCATCATAACTCAACAGAATTACTACTAAGTAGGGAATTTTTTATTTTGTTTTGTTTTTGTTTTTGAGAGAGAGATTTTTTGGTATACGATATTTGCTGGAGGAGGGACAGAAAGTGAGAAATCATCCCTCTCAGGGGGATGGCCATGCCACAGTCCCTTCTCTTCTATTATCCTCTTGGGATCTCAGGAACACACACATACATACCGGGCCTGAGTTTTAAGCTGCTGAGTCTGGGACTCGAACCATGATCAACTCTGTGGGAGTCCAGTGATGTAACCATACTCCATCTGCTGGTCCCTCCTAACTACTGAGATTTTAACCTCTAAACTAGCTCCCCTCCTATCTACTGTATAGTTACAATAATCTTTCCAAAATGTGAATCTACTTAAAAACTCTTAAACTGCTTCCTACCGTCCTCAGGATAACATCCAATCTCCTTGTCATGGTTTACAAAGCATTTTAAGAGCTGAAACGTTCTTTGTAAGTTATACAATAGCAAAACACATATATACATAGTATCTAAAGGAACTAGACCAATCTGTCACTATTCCTGTTCCTTTGTCACTATTGTCTTATAATAGGCAAGTTACTTAATTTCTCTGTCTCTACCTATTTTATTATGTGATTGTGAATGTTAGATGAGATAAAATACAATGTTTGACACAGAATCTGACACATTTGACACACAGTAAATACTTAGTAAATACTAGCTACTGTTATCACCCTCTGTTATCATTGCTCTAGAAGGATGGGCCCAGCAGTTAGCATGATGGCTATGTCGCTGGACTCCCATGTAGTCGACCACGGTTTGAGTCCCGGACCCTGTGGCTTAAACTCACGCCGGGCGTGTGTGCATGCGTGCGCAAGATCCCGAGAGGAGAATGGAGGAGAAGGGATTGCGGCGTGGCCATCCCCCCTGGGGGGTGATTTCTCACTCTCTGTCTCTTTCTGTCTGTCTGGTGAGCGCACGTGCCCTATAACAAAAGACTCTCCAAAAAAAGAAAAAGAAAAAATAGAAAGGTGAGCAGTCTCACCCCTCTACTCTACCCTTCCCACTATTCTTTTTCTTTTAAGGAATTATTTTATTTAACTTTATTTATTTATTTATTTTTAATTTGACCAGAGAGGGACAGAGCAAGAGTGAGAGAGAGGGAAAGCGAGAAAACAAGTCACCAGGTCCGGGACTCGACCTGTGGTCGGCCATGTGGGAGTCCAAGGTCCTTAACCACCATGCCACCTGCCTGTCCCCCTTTCCACTATTCTTTAAAGCTCATCCTAAGTTCTGCATCGTCTGTGAAATCTTTCTGGTCCCTCCATACCTATTAGGTGCCGAACTATGTGCTCCCCAAGATCTTGTATTTTCCTTGCCATAGTGCTTGTCCCACATTTAGTAAATTTCTCTTTTCAATGCTAAACTGTAAACTTCTGCGTGAACAACTGTGTCTATCTTGTGCTCCGTTATAGTTCCAGTGCCTAGTACAGTGCCCAGTACACAGGGTAATAAAGAGTGTCCATTTTCTCTCTCACAGCTCCTGGTGTGTTCCTCTCCCAACTGCAGTTTATACCATGTTACAGAGACACAGACTTCCCGTATCTGCTTTCTGTAAAATAGAGTTTAGAAAAGGCTGCCACGGAACAAAGAATGGGCAAATAATACTGGGAAAGGCAAAGGTGGGTCTTCTGAACTACAGTACTCTACACTGCATTGTGAATCTCCGAGTTGGAGTTAGAAATAACACCTGTAACTCGTGTCCTGCAAACGCAGTGGCAAAACCCATTTAAGGTGATGTTCTCCCCTCCTACGACTTTAAAGTATGGTAGTTGTGAAAGAGGAAATCTCTAAAGCACTTATACCATGGGGCTTACAGTTTTTAGGTCAATAACCTCACAGCAGAGTTTGAGAGCTACAAAGAACTTTCTAGCTCAGGTCCCAAAGGGCAGGGGTTGTCCCCGGCCACACATCAGCTACAAAACCCAGAAAGGCTAGAAGCAGAGCCCCATGCACCCATTTTATCCCAGTGACTTTCAGGACAAGCAATGCCTCTCGACACCCGCCCGCCAGGTACCCTCATTTCGATGATTATTTTGAGCCACACTATACATTTAAGGTCTGTTTTTCCCTGCCCGCTTTCTTAGGCCTCCAGTTACCGCTTCTCACTCCTCCCTCCCTTGTACAGCACACTTTATCCGATCCCGAGGATCTGGGGCTTAGTTGGGGGCGAGGGAGGTAGTTTCTTTCTTTCCTTCAGACTTTATTTGTGAAGTGTAAACTTTTTCTTGTAAACCGAAACAAACCTGTTCATTTTAAGGCCTTCCCCTAAATCCCATGGGCGCTACTCCTTACCCCGTCGGACTCCAACCTACCAATCCCTACCCGCTCCCTTCCCCTATCGGACGCAGGGACCTGCGCTTGGTCTTCACCTGGCACTGCCATGACGCCGATGAAAGGGGTCGCTGGAAGCTTTCGAGAATGCGTTTGCTTCCCGCAGGCTGCGAAGACAACGAACACTCAAATCGTCGCCTTCCACCCGCCGCAGTTCGGCGTCAGTCCGCTGAAGGCCTGTAAACCTCTACCGATGGCGGAACCAAGGAGCCATAGATGCAGTTTCCGGACGAGTCCTTGCAGAACACACGTGGTCCAAACCATTAGTGACAGCTTTAGGGGATGAGGGCGACGCGCACGCGAGTCTTGTAAGATAAACACCACCAATATTTACCAATTGCTTCCTTTCATAGTTTAATATAAATTAAGTTAGTCTATAGAAACTTTAGAATCTTTTCTCGTTCCTCGGAGGACATTGCAATCCCCTTTCTCAGGGTTAGCGGTGGTCGGGTCCAGGACCAACATGGCGGCGTCCGTGAGGGACTAGCTTTGGGGAAAAGCAGTGGTTTGGCGTCGCTGTCTTGAGCGATATTCACGGTCTGCAGCTTTCCCGGACCGCTCATCTTAAGAACGCGTGTTCTGATACGCGGACAGCTTGAGTGGCCGTCCGTCCGCTCGCATCCCCAGTCAGGAGCAGAGTCTGAGCACTGACCAGGATGAGCAACATTTACATCCAGGAGCCTCCCACCAACGGGAAGGTGAGAGCGTTATCTAGGGTACCTGGGCTTCCCAAAGTCAGATCTCCTCAAGCATGGGGCGTTCAGAGATCTTGTTGAAATAGACCCTAGGAAGTGTTGTCCTTATACCTGCTCATTGACACGGTTTCTTCGAAAACACTGAAACTGACATTTCTCAGCATGTACTTGGAAAAAGTCCTCAAGTGGATAATTTGTTTATCTGCCAGCGTTCTGGCCCTTTCCCTGCCATAACCCAACTCATGCAGGTGTTTTCTTTTTCCTTTCCTTTCCGTTCCTTTCCTTTTCTTTTCTTTTCCTCTCCTTTCTTTTCTTTTTTCTTTTTGGAGAGGTTTTTGCTATAGGGTGCGTGCACTCGCCAGAAAGACAGAGAGAAACAGACAGAAAGCGAGAAATCACCCCCCAGGGGAGATGGCCACTCCACAATCCCTTCTCCTCCATTCTCCTCTGGGAATCTTGGATGCGCTCGCGCACGCGCCTGGTGTGAGTTTAAGCCACCGGCTCCAGGACTCGAACCACGGTCGACTACGTGGTAGTCCGGCGACATAGCCATTATGCCAACTGCTAGTCCCATGCAGGTGTTTTCTAGGGTCATAGTTTTTTGGTGTTTGTTTGTTTTTTTAAAGTACATTTTGAGTTAGTCATACTCTTTGGAGATTGCTCATTCTCCATTCCTTACACAGTCATTTATTGAGTGTCTCCTAGATACCAGGCACTGTACCAGGCTCTGGGGATGCAAAGATAGATGCATAAGGTTTAGTTATTGCCTCTTGTCCTGGGAAGAGCTTATAATTTCATCTGGAAAAAGGCAAATAAACAAAAAGTTTAGGATATGTCTGGTAGGCACAATTGTGGAGAGTGGAACATATTGCTATGGCAGTACCTGGGAATGAGCAGCTAGGAAAATTGAGAAATGCCTCATGCCCCACAATTTATCTTTTAAGCTGCTCTTAAAACATGCGATGATTATCAGAAAAAGTGGGGAATTGAAACTGTTACCACATTAGAATGGGAGAATGATTCTCTGATTCACTTGATGACCACAGTATTCAATTTCCATCCAAGGTGTTTGTAAACAGTATGAGCAGAGGAGTCAGTAGTACAATAAATATCAATTGAATTCCTGAACTGAGACATAGTTTGCATCACATATGAAATGTGATAAAACAACATAATGGAGAAAATAATGAGATTGAAAATACATAGTTTTGGGGCCAGCAGGTGGCATGGTGGTTAAAATGTGCTGGACTGCACATGTGGTAGACTGCAGTTCAAGTCGCGGACCTGGCTGCTTAAAACTCAAACTGGGTGCGTGTGCTGTGTGACCGATATTCCAGTAAGAGAACGGAGGAGAAGGGATTGTGGTGTGGCCATGCTTCCTGGGGGTGATTTCTCAGTTTCCTTCTCACTGTCTTTCTCTGTCTCTCTTCAGTGAGCTCATGCACCCTAGATCAAAAACCTTAAAAAGAAAATATATAGTTGTGTTAGAATAAACTAAACTTATATAAAATACAATTTCATTGCATGATTGTATCACAAGTTATGCAATCATTTATTCATTGATATTTGGTAAGGTAATATGGGCATTTGAAAACAAAAACAAAAATGCTATAATTCTCAGAAAAAAATGTTACTGAATATTTTTGGGCAAAACAATTCTTTCAATTCCTTGTTAGAAGGAACTTCTCCTGGGCATTGTTTTAGCATCCCCACCCCACTCTCCATCCTCTCTGACTTCAGTGTGAAAACCCAAAATATGTGTACTATCTTCTCATATTTCCAAATACTTTTTTTTTGGAGAGGTTTTGCCATAGGGTGCGTGCACTTGCCAGACAGACAGAGACAGAGAAACAGCGAGAAATCACCCCCCAGGGGGGATGGCCACACCGCAATCCCTTCTCCTCCATTCTCCTCTCAGGATCTTGGGCACGCATGCATACGCGCCCGGTGTGAGTTTTAAGCCACTGGGTCCGGGACTTGAACCACAGTTGACTATGTGGGAGTCCAGCAACATAGCCTTTACGCTAACTGCTGGTCCCTCCAAATACTTCTTGAGGGGAGTATCACTCTCAGTTAATAAACTCTTACAGAGATTGAATAGATGCCTATCCTGATAAGTGGGACCTTCACACTTGCTTTTCCTCTCTCTAGTATACTGTTTCACCTTTTAAAATGTCAATCTTACCAAAAAGATTGACATCTTTATCAACTTTCTATGAAATAAAAGTCCTCAGACATGCCCTACATCTGAGCATTCTTTGACCCCTTTAACTTTTTAAAAATTTTTTCTACAGTGTTTATTATTTATTTGTGTTTGGATTTCCCTTCCCTTATAAAATGCAAGCGCCATGAAGGCAGAGATAAGCATCCGGAACAGTCCTTGACACTTGGTAGAAAGAGTTCAAATGTGAACTGAATAATTGAGTGGATGGATGAATTAACACTGTATCTCTCTTAGCTTCTATTAGGTATCAGTGAATTTGAGGTTATACTACTACAAGGCAAATATTGCTTTGGAGAAAGATTTGACATGGTTGAATAAATGACAAGCTTTAACAAGGATACTTTCCTGTGGAGGAAATAATTCACCCAACAATTATTTATGGAGCACCTAGTATCTGCCAAGGTCTCTGTTGGGTTTTATGAATACAGTGGAAAGAAAAACCATTATTGTCCCTGTCATGGAGTCAGTTGAGTGAAATATACATTGAACAAATAATCATACAAATAAGTGTGTATTTGCAAATTATGTGAAATACTCTTTCTCTAAACAGAAATGGGCTGAAAGAGAACTTAAGGCAGGACCCAAATTTTGCTCCAAAAACAATTTGGAACTTTTCAACATGAAATTGCTGGAAGACATTGATATCTCAAAGTTCTGTACCATGAAAGCTCAGCAAGAATTTAGCATAGAAATAATTTAAAGCAATTCTAATAATAAGTTTGTTCAACAAATGTTTGTTTCATACTTTTACTGTCTAATGGTTAATTGGGAAAGGAGAGGATATTGAGATATTTAGAATAAGTGGAACAAAATTTTTCCCTTCAAAGAGCATAGAATCAAACTAGGAAGTAATAGACACGTGATCGCAGTAGTTGATCCTGGCCATCGACCATATGCTATGTTTGGATGTTATGCTATAATCTTAGCCCTTAGATTAGGCACAGAAATGTAGTACTTGGTAGAAATCTTCTTAAATCTGAAGTAATCTATTAAAGATGAAATATCCACATATTATGATCAGTTCGTCTAAATTGGGTACATTTGTCTCTTGCTATCCATGGGGGATTATTCCAGGAGACCATGAACATCAACATCTACAGATCTGCAAGTCCCTTATATACAGTGTATAGCATTTGCATAGAGCCTTCTTGCCAGAACCTGCTGAGCAGAGCACATTTTTCTGAGTGGGGTAGCCTGTGGATTAGAATAGACGCAATAACAAACACTCAGTCACACAAGTGTGGAAAAGCGAGGAGGATCCGATGGGCCCAGATTCTCTCATAGAGAAGTTGAGATGTTGAAACAGCCTGAGGTTTATTCTTTCAAAGGGCAGAAAATGGGGAAAGAGGAAATGGACTGCGAAGAGAATAGGGGAGAAGGAAATGGCACACAAAGCCAGTTGTTTTGGCATGTTATTCGTCTGAACATGTAAAAATGACTTGGTCATGTAATTTCTCTGATCTCTTTGGGGCAAAATCTGATAAACACAGGTGGTATCTTTACCAGGTATCAACAACAACAGGAAGATAACCATTAACAACAGGCAGAGAGCGCTTTCGTATGCAAATACTTCTCAATAGCCCTGCTTGAGTAGCTTAAGGAAGCATGTTTCTGCATGCATCTAAAGGTCACACCATGTTTTCTCAGACTGCCGCTCTTCACCCCTTCTTACATCCTCCTGCATACTTTGAAATATCTCTAGGTTACGTGTAACACCTACTAAAATGTAAATTCTTTTAAAATCGCTGTTATACTGTGTTGTTTCGAGAATAATGACAGGGAAAAGAATCTGTACATGTTCAGTACAGAAACAGCCATTGTAAAGCTAACTACATTGTAGGCCTAATCATTTACACATAGTATGTGTTAGCAACAACACAGTATTTTTGATCTACAATTGTTCAAGTGGTTGAAACCACAGATACAGAACTTGCTGGTACAGAGACATCTGTGTTAACATTTCTGTTTTTAAGAAACATGATACTACGGAAGTATTGTCTTATTTGGGAGCTTTAAGTAAAAGCGCCACTAAGGCCTCATGAAACAGTGATGGTCAAAGAAAGGAGCCCTGTACTTTCTTCATATTCAGTAGCTTAAAAAGTTTGAGAAACTGTGAGCATGGTGACCAAATCATATACAGGTTCTTTTTTACTAGATATATGTTGCTGGTGACCAAAAATCCAAGCTGTATAAGAATAATAATTAGAACAATAATGGCTATCATTTTAAAATTTGCCTTGTACTTTTCTAAGGAATCATTTTGTCATCAGAACAAACTTCTGAAGGTATTATTATCCAACTTTTAGAAAAGGAAATTGGACAGTAGAGGTGTTAGATATCATGCCCAGGATGACAAAGCTACTAAGAGGATGGTCAGTACTTGAAGCTGGGCAGCCTTA